ATTTATTTTAATTTTACTTTTTTTAAATTTTAATTTTTATGCTTGGGGTTTGTTCTTGGCTGTGGTACTCAGCCCACTGCAGCAGCCTGGCCGTGCTCCCCCCGAGTCTGTTTAACGCCACGAAGCAGCAGCAGAGCAGGGACCCTGAGCAGCTGTGATCACAGCTGGAGCAGTTGCTGTTTTCCTCCCACCTTCCAGCCTGTGAGCTGTGCTGTTTTAAAGGCAGCTGGAGGTTTAAAGCCTGGGCAGAGCAGCTAAGCTATGACCCTGGGCTGGGGTTGAGGATCAGCCCTTCCAGGTGAGGCTTTCCTGGCACACTGGCAGCTTTGCTTTTTTTTTGGGGGGGGGAACAGAAAAGGAATTGGAACTAGACTTGAATTTTTTCTTCTTTTTTTAATATTATCAACCCAACATAGCCTAGGTTATTTTTGTTTGTTTTTGTACTGATGTTGTGTTGGTTTCTGATGCAGTATTACCTGCTCCCTCCAGGGAAGCACTAAAGGTTTAACCACTGGTGGGTTTGCAGAGGAAATCCCTTCCTGGCCCCTGGGACACTGGTTTTTGGGTTGTTTGGGGGTTTTTTTTTTGCTAACAAACACCCCTGACCTGTGTAGCTGAAGCCCAAGCCTGGAGCAGCTCAAGTGCAGGAGTTGTGCAGTGTACTCATGTTTTCACATCCAAATGTGTCTGTTGATGGAGAAGTCCAGAGCAGGTCAGATCTGTTTCACTCCAGCAGATGAACAAGAGCCTCTGCAAAACCCATTTCAAGCACTGAAGCTTTTTAAGGACTTAGAGTAAGATTGAACTAAAGCAACCAGGAGCCACTTCTTTCTAATTTACGATGGGCAGGATTAAGAAAATCCTTAAGTATTAGGTTTTTTTTGTACCTGTGCTACTAAGAGCCTGAAGGACTTGGCTCATTTAGGAGGCAGTGGATGTGGTGGGCTCCTTACCTGGGTCTCCAGCACGATGGTGGGTGACTGTTCCCCTCAGTCACCCCATCCAAGCACTAAGTCTGGGGAGCAGGGTGTGAGGTGGGTGACAGCACTGACACTGACAGACACAGCCCTGGAGGAGCTGTAAGGAGCTTCCACACAGAAGCTGCATTTCAGTAGAGATGGAGCCACTCCTGCAGAGCCAGGTCAAGCTTTGCTGAGCCACCACCTCCATCAGGTAAATGCCATTTCCATGTTTACTGCAGCACAGGGGAAGCAGGAGCGAGGAGTTAGTTCCAGGCTGGAGCTGTCACCTCCAGAACAAGCCTTTCCTCACTCCTGCACAGGCACAGACCACCCCAGAGCCAGGAGGGAAGGGGGAGGAGGGCATTTAACAGACTTTTCATGTGCTTACCCATGTATGCTATGCACACACACCACTTTTGTACTAGTCTGTGTTTAAAAAAAGAAAAGTAATAAACTTGGAAGTTTATGCAATCAGACTAAGTTTTAATGAACGTTGCATGGTTTCAGCATTGAAAGTTAAGGGCCACCTCGAATGCAAGAGCTGTTTATTAATATTTTATTGATGACAAACAGGTTTAAAACAAACTGAGACAAAAAAAAAAAAAAATCAAAAAAAGAGTTAACACCGTGCTAGCACTGATGTCTGGATTTATAAAACTCAAGAGTTTTAACTGCTACAAAGGAAAAAACCAGCACAAAGCAGAGGCAAGCATTCCCGTGGGTGAAATAAAGGGGGTGAGGGGAGAGGAGGGGGGTTACGTTCTCAATGGATCGCATTGCACAGAGGGGTACAGCTCAAACCTATCGGAAAAGTCTATGCAACTACGCAGCCTACAGAAGGAAAACAAATTAAAAAGCCCTTCGGCAATGTTAATAAATAAAACAGTCCATCTCACAAGGAAGGAAGGTGGCCTGTGTCTCCATTCTTTCACATTTTAGAAGTCTAAACTCTGGAGGCTTTTTTTTTTTCTTTATGAGAAAAGAATGGTGTTTTGGTTTGGTTTTTTTTAAATTTTAAATTTCTGGAAAGTTTCTTTTGCAGTTCTTGAACTACATTCTCTGCAGGACTGAACAAAACAATGTTGAACACCTGTTCCATGGTGATGTGCACGCTACTCCCAGGTTTTGTGGGTTTGCTACACCAGGTCTGCACTGGGGGAGAGACACTCTTGAAAAACTACAGCAAATACAGGTGATGAAAGCGGGTCAACGATCTACAGAAAGGACAGTAATGAAAGGGCTTTCCCCTCCAGTTACAAAAAGTGGGGTTTACATCATTTAAGTACATTCAGATGAGAGGTATTTTTATTTTTAGTTTTCCCCCCCCCAAAAAAAAAGACTAGAAACACTTGGAGCCCTTTGAGTATAAAGCTAACTTAATTCAAACTTTAAAAACACCTCGGTTAGTGACTCACACTCTACTGCTCTTGGCCAATTAGGAGGTAGAGGTTACTTCTAATTTAGGGATCTGATAAAAATGGGTCTGTAGGAATTTTAGTCTCCATGCTGTTTTTTCTAAAAAGGTTTAGACAGAAATAAAATGCTCCCAGTGTTCCCCTATGACTTATTTAAGACATGGGTACAACTTAGAAATTGGATGGCTTCTCTTATGTGCTGTTCTCAGTTTTGACTTCCAGCTATTTCTCAAGCCAGCGCTGATGCTGATGGCACAGCCGTGTCCACTACCTGAAAAATAGGCTCCGGGTTTGGTTTTAACACCTGAATCTTTCAGCTCTCTGCATTAATCACCGAAGAAGCCACACAAAAGCCTTACCCATTATCTCTAATTAGACCCAGCTCTCAGAGGCCACCTTCCAACAACTGCCTGCTTTGTCCATTTAATTATTTATTATTATTTTTATTTTCAACCTGCTTCAGTAACATTGTAGAGTCTTTACTTCAAAACCAATATAATCCCCAGTTTCCACTACTTCTTCCCCAGATCTGAGGGAGCGAGTAAAGCAGGCCTGTTTGTTTGTTAGCATCTTTTCCTCCAGGGCCGAAGGGCACAGGAACCCATCCCCTTTCAAGCGCAAAGTTCATCTTACAGAAAGGCTTGTTTGTTTTTTTGTTTTTTTTTTCACAGAGTAGAGTCCAGACAGTAGCCAATTAAAGCATACAGAAAACACTTTGAAACCCTCCTCCTGCTCGAGCGCGCAGGCTCCTTTCACTCTAACTGCTATCCAATGTAGGAAGAAGAGGCTGATTGCTGCAACTTTTAATCACACTGAAAGTTCTCAAGGTTGGTGCTTCTAATTTAGGTTTGTTTTAAACTTTTCTTTTTTTTTTTTTGTAAGCTTCTCAGAACAAGGATCTCCCAGGTCCACCACTAAGAATTCAGAGACAAACTTCGAAAAATTCAGTGCTCCTTTAAAAGAATCTCTTTTTAAAAAAACCACCTTGTCACGAAAGACCCGTTCAGAATGTGGGCGACACGATGACACTAGGATTTCAGAGCCAGTGTTGGACAACAAAACCTCCATCTCAGAGTTGAGCATCAGCTATGTTCTGCTGGATTTCTGCTTGGCTTGCTGGCACTTAGTCAGGAACTCTCTCCTCTTTCTCTCTCTCAGATACTCTGCTTCTAAAATGTAAACAGTTACTGCTAAAATATAGTACCCCTTTAAAACGAGAACAACTCTGAGATGAGGGTTTTCCTCTCCCCATCTGCTCTGAAAAGTAATGCCCTGCTCGCAAAGAGAAGTATGGAATGAAGTGAAACCTGCTTAAGGCCCTTCTCTCGAGCTTGTTTGACTGGGGGAGCAGGGACTCAGCTGACCACTCATTTCAGGGTGAGTTGCCTTCCCAGTGAGGCGCCAGCCAGTCCTTCGGTGCTCTCTCTCCTCTCCGGTCAGTCTCCTTGTCTCAGTGAGCTAGCAGTGGGCTCTCTCGCGCGCTCTCCTTTCTCTCTCTCTCTCTCTCTCCTCTCCGTTGGTTGGTTTCTTTCTCCTGTTGCTCTCACACAGTGGTGCTTCAGTTTTAGCAGTGG